TGTGAAAGAGCAGTTTATTAGAAGAAAAAGTGCACTTCAAAGAGGTAGAGGCGGACCGAGCAGAAGGCAGTGGCTCAAGGGCCACTTTTAGAAGAGAAAGTGCACTCCAAAGGGTTAGGAGCAGGCGCGGCTCAAAGACTCAAAGGCCTGGATGAATTTATACTTTATTTACTCTGTCACCTATTGATGGATATTTTGCTTGTTCCCGTTTTTTTGCTCTTAAACCAGGTGAAAAATACACTTATCTTTGTGTAACTGCTTATCTAATTGACTTCAGCAGTTTCAAAGTCAAGTCACTGCTCAAGAAATATATTTTCCATTCTTGAAAATATTAAAATAACTTTTTCAAAGTGTAAGATTTATTTTCCTACATTCACCCTCATGCCATGATGCTAGCCAAGCTGGTATCTATCTGCTAATACACTCAACAAATAGTTTTTTTTCTAGTGCTCCAAGTACTACTTTTTTTAAAATGGCTTCATTGAGATAAAATGCACACATCATAGACTTCATCTAATTACAATGCACACTTCAATGGTTTTTAGTAGATTTACAGAGCTGTAGAACCATCCCCACAATCTAATTTTTTTTAAATTAAAGTTTATTGGGGTGACAATTGTTAGTAAAGTTACATAGGTTTCAGGTGTATAATTCTGTAATACATCATCACATTGTGTGTTCACCACCCAGAGTCAGTTCTCCTTCCATCACCATATATTTGATCCCTTTTACCCTCATCTACCTCTCCCCTACCCCAACCCTCCGGTAACCACTAAACTACCCACAATCTAATTTTAAAACATTTTCATCATCCCCAACAGAAACCTTGTACTCGTTAGCAGTCACTTCCCACCCCGATACATCCATGACATTTCATGTTCTCCAGGTTTATCCATATTGAAGCACGCATCAGTACTTCATTCCTTTTTATCATTAAATAATATTCCATTGTGTGGCTATACCACATTTTTTTATCCCTTGACCAGTTGATGGACATTTGGGTTGTTGCTGTTTTTTGGCTATTATAAATAATGGTGTTATGAACAGTCACATTTTTTGCATGGATATATGTTTTCAATGCTTTAGGGGTATTTATAACCATATGCTGGGTTATACGGCTATTCTTTGTTGAACCCTTTGAGAAATTGCAAATTGTTTTTCAGGGTAGCTGCATAATTTTACGTTCTCACCAGCAGTTATATGAGGATTCTAATTTCTCACACCCTCCCTGCACATGTGACTGTTGGCCTTTTCGATTAGAGTCATCCTAGTGGGAGTGAACTTTGCTGTGGTTTTGGTTTGTATTTCCCTAATGGCTAATGATGCTGAGCATCTTTTCACGTGCTTGTTGGTCCCTTGTATGTCTTCCTTGGAGAGATGTCTAGTCAGCCTGTTTGCCCCCATTTTTTTAATGTAGTAAAGCTTTATTGCTGACTGGCATCCGTGTCCAGCAGGGTAACTCAGTTCCCCGTCCATGAGATGATTTGGGGGTCCAGACTGCCAACCTATGTGAGGTCTCAGAATCTCCCCCGGGGTTTCCTTCACCTAGCTAGCAGACAGCGACAGAAGAGAAGTGTGGAAGATGATGCAGTGGTGACATCACTTTCACCTCCAGTCCACCGGTGAGAGCTAGTCGGATGCCCCCCATCAAGAGGCAAGGGTGTTGGAAAATGTTGCTTAGCTGTGTAATCAGGAAAGGAAATGGGTTTTTCTGATTCTGGCTCCTTACTCTTTTTGGTTCGTGCCTTTGCATTGACTGTTTGAAATGAGATGGGAGTGTCTGTCTTACCGAAAGGTTTAAGAGTAGTCCTTTGATGATCAAAGGGCAATGTAATTTGTTTCCGTATGGTTCCACCTAGAATAAAAGTTTTTCTTCTCATCTCAAAATAGCTGCTGATTTTAGAAATTAGGGAAACAAAGCTTATATGACATTGTGACAATATTCAGAATTAAAAGCCATGGTTATAGTTTAAAAAGCAACAACTCATTTATTATTTTCCTTTCATTTTCTATATTAAGGTTCTGCTGTAGAGGACAAAAGTCGAGAGGTTTATTCTCATTAAAAAAAAACTGTTTAAAGATTCTTCTTTAACAATCCTCTCCTGTCCCTTTAGTTACTGAATTAAATTTTATGAAACCTGATATTAGGACATGGAAGCTCGGCCAAGTCCACTGACCTTCCCTCGCTTTTGTAAACACCTTTATGGCCCCTGCAGAGATTGCAGAACCTGTTATCACTGTCTGTAGCGGGCACTCTTTCTCCCCACAGAAGACTTGAGTGCAATTCTTGTTTATTTCCCCTTAAGCAGCCTGGGCATTTCCTCATTATCTAGAACTTGGTTGAAGGCTTCAGGTTTCCCGAGACGTTCAGACCAACATGGTTGTACTAAAGTAATAATACCAATGTTTTTGTAACTTGCTATTTGCTTTCTATGCTGTTACTCAATGGACTTGTGAATTATACAGTATAATGAGAATAAACATTTTCTTAATAAACTCAGAAACCTCTAGGTAGACTGAAAGAACTCTATGTACTACAGTGAGAAGAAAAACATATCCTTATTTTTAAGCACTTATTCAAAATCTTTGCTAATATAGTTTATCCAGTCCTGGTGTAGCAAGTATACATCAGGGAATCCACTGCTGCCTTAAGGTCGTTTCATTTTCCTCTTCCACCTTTTACAAACAAGTGGTTTGAAGCCTTAGTCCAGGACACAGAATTTTATGTGGCTGTTGGCAAAGCCACTTTAGTAAAATTTCTGGGAAAGAAAAAGGGAGGGACTTATTTTATTCTCCCAGTTAATGACCAATTTAAAAGAGAATGACAATGAGAACATGGTTCCAAAGGTACAAATCACTTACACATAGCGTTTTGAGCAATGGGAATGGCGAGTTATCACAGAAACAAAACATACTGCAGCGCTTACTTTTGAGGCTGCTGTTTTCTTGAACCACCTTCAGTCCCGTGGTAGGAGGAGAGGTTCGGTTACCATCACTATTGCTCCATAAGTGTTACCCGCCTTCGTCAATGAACTCGGAGGAAAGGCCGCAAAATTCAAGTCCATAAACCCATTTGGAAAATGGTATGATGTGTAAAGTCCCATACACACAAAGGTTAAAAGGACTGTCAATGACAGATTCTAAATGGAATTTTGTAAGTATTTCTAGGAAGCAGTTGCTTTAAGAAATTCATTTTTACTTGGTGAAAATTTCATGCAAAAAGAAAACAGTCAGTGACTCTGCACACTGTAAAGTTCAACAGGAGGATTCATATGTCTGTTAACAAGTTCAACCATCCTTTCATTGCATTATTACCTCCATAATTTGCAAATACTATTAAATATGACCCATTTTCTCAAAGGAATGCCAATTTTCTGGTCTCTGATTAAAGGAGAATGCAGCTAGAGTAACCTCAAGACTATATACATTCAACACATTTTTGTGGAATAACAACACAGGAGTACTACATAAATCAAATGACAGTTGTATAAAAATAACAAAACATTTACAGATGACCCAAATCCAAATTCTTAATAAACACAATCCCCACTGCCACTCTGACCCTAACTGAGTTTCCCAAAGAACAATTAAGAATAAATATATTTCTTATAACAAGTCATGGCAAGGACAGAAGTGAGCTATTATGCTAATTTTTAAAAAAGTTGAGACTATTCAACTAGCAGGAAAATCTTAAAAGATACTGGGTTTTTTTTTTTTGTGAGAGAAGTATAAATTTCATACCTTAATGGTATGACAGGTCATATCACACACCCCAAATAAATAAATAAAAGAGAAGAAAAATAGCACCTGTCCGGTTGTGGCTGCAATAGCTATCTCTGTTTATCAGCGACTGCTATCCGGACTGGGTGCTGTTCCCACAATCTCATATCAGCACAACCATTTAGAAATGAAACAAACCACAGGAAACAAGCAAAACAACTCTTCGGCTGTCTGGTATGCATCACCACTTCAAACTCAGAATCTAAAAATTCTCTCATAAAGTTTCTACATATCAACACCATGAAGTTGTTGTCTGGAGATTTGCAGGGAGGGGTGCCTTATTAGAGCCTGACGAACTACTTCTATGGTTTATGACAAGATAATTTTTAGCATCCTCATCTAAGCCATGCTCCAAAATATAAGAAATGTCACTGATAGTGGCACTGCTCTACAGGAACTCACAATGCACTCTCCTTCCTATTACTAGATAATGCTCATCCCTGTGCTGCTGCGATTCTATTCCATTGTCAGCCTGAGGTCAGGAGCTAATGGTAAGTTCTTCATCTTTCACGAGGATGGAACACAGGCAACACATGACTGCTGTTGATTGCAGACCATGGCTGAGAAGACTAGAGTGGCAAACTGACGTGAGCAGAACCAATTCATCTCCTTCCCAGGAAGTGAGAGTTAGGGCTTCAAGACTCTCATCAGTCAGGTAAAGGTGTGACACTCACAGGACATGTCATGGGTTGGCAGGTAGGAAGGGCAAGGGCTGGGGTTGCTATTTCAGTCAACAAATGCAGAAACCAGGCCTATAGGAAGCAGAAGAGTAACACTGAAGCAAAAAGCAGCAGAGAACAGAAACGAAATGACCTGAGAAAGAGGATATTCTTGAACCCAATGGCTGATTTCAACATCAGGATCGTGTTCTCTGTGAAATCCAGGTTTACTTCCTTCTCTGGAGTTCTGTGAGAAACCTCTGCAGACTTCCTATAAAATTCCTCCTCTTATTTTTCCGGAATTAGTTTGAGAAGGTTTCTTGACTATGGTAATAAGAGTCCTAATTATTAACAATCACTGGCTTAGGGTTTCTTCACCCATTTGTTAATAATCATTAAAATTTTTTCCCCTGACTTGGGCCATTACCCCTTTATTTGAGTATTAGAGATTTCTAGGGCACTAGGATCAAAGGCAGACCTTGAGAAGAGAGGGGTATTGTTATTTATTAATTTAGCAATTCAAGGAAACATTTTTATTAACAAAGTAAAGTATCTACTTACGTAATCTGGTAGAGGAACATCATTGGAACTTAGCGAACCTCTCAAGGACTGTGTGGCTTGTTCTAGAACTTTGTTGTGTTTTTTAGACAGCAAGGAAAACAAACTGAAAAAACAAACAAAAAAACAAATAAAAACCCTAACTATATTGAAAAACTGTCTCCTTTTCTAGGTCTCATGTGGAATTATACAGTTCCACCGAATGTCAATTATTCTAAAATACACTTGTAATGCTTCTTTTATCATAGCAGGATCAACAATACTATTAATATAACAAAAAATGAAGTGAGGAGAATGTTTAAATTACATGGCTTCTCAAGAATAAAAAAAGTTTTACAAGTTAAAATTATGTTTCAAACATAGGAGAGATTTTTAGAAGATTACTATAGTGGAAAAAATAGTAGTCAGAGATTTAGAAAACCTGGGCTATGGACTGACTTTCCGAGTAGCTCATAGTGTAATCTGAGTCACGTGAGCTTGTTGTTGCTCAATTTTCACATCTTTCAAATAAGTGTGTTGGATCAGATTACTTCTCTAGTATAATACAGAGTCTGATTTAATATTACAGCTTTATATTTTTATTTCTCAAAAAGAATAACTTTAAATATACATCAGATTTCTGCCTCTGATCATGATGAATTAACTGGTACTGAACAACTCTCCTGCTGTAAATGACTAAGAAACTGGACAAAATATACGAAACAACAGTTTTTAGATGTTATACAACATCTGAAAGTTTAGGATTCTGATCCCTAAAAGAAGAGAGATCTGCATGGGCTCCATAAGGTGACTTTCTGTCTAGAGGAACATTCCAGATTGTGGTTCAGAATGGTGGGGCCCAAACAGTACACAGCAATCCTGTGCTGATCTGAGAAGACAGGGATACGAATTTGGGGCAGCTGTGGCAGCTGGAATTTGCAGGGCAGGTTATTAGACATGAGAGAAATGCAAGAGGGAAGTCTAGAAATCTGTCCAAGAGTCTTCTTGAGTGTTTGGCTAAATATTAAGCTGTACTGTACAGAGAAAGACCCCACAAAGTGGCAATTAAACAGCTATCCAGGAGATGGAAACTGAACAGAGATTTTGAAGGTCACTAAAGCCTGAGGTATTGTGTAGTTCCAACCAGCAAGAGTGGATAAAACTCATGGGCATTCAGATGAATTCTCAGAAATGCCACACTTTAGTAGGACTAGGACTACTCTAATCCAGAGTAAAGATTACTCTATTCTAAGATGCATCCTAACAGACTTAAATGAGCAATTTTCAAAAAATAAAGCTAGTTTACAGTAAATGTAAATGGGCTAAAAACTCCGCTTAAATGGCAGAGATTGTCAGACTGGATAAAAAAGCAAGACCCAATCACATGCTATTTACAAGAGTCACATTTGTAAATTTAAAGACACAGCTAAGTTAACACTAAAATGCTGCAAAAAAGATACATAAACCCTAATCATAAGAAAGCTGGAGTGGCTCTATTAATATTAGACAGAGTAGAGCTTCACGACAAGAATATTATTATTATTATTATTAGAGATAAAGAGAAAGACTTTTTAATTATGAAAGGGCCAATTCACCAATAAGACATAAAAACCCTAATGCTCATGTGTCTAATAATAGAACTTCAAATATACATAATTATATGATTCTAATACTAAATCTACTGTATCTAATGAAATAAAGAATTCTTCTTTGGACTAGATTGCAGCTTAAAAATAAAGGCAATTATGATTCCATATACCTTTCCACATACATTTGTGGTATAATTTGAAGTACTATTTTAATGCCAAAGACATTACTCTAGTATTTCTTAGTGATACCCTTCTAAATATTAACTTGAATATCTATTATATTTAGGAAAATCCCTAATTATTTCAGATGGTTTAAATGAGATAGTCACTGAAGACAAGGCTACTAAGTATTCTTTCTAGATAAAGTTTTAACATGGTCAAAGATAAATATTCCTTGAACACTTACTGGTAATGCTGGATGTTGTACAAAGAAAATATAAACAGAGACAAGAAAATTATCTAAACCTATACTGAAATACAGTAGGAAGAAAATAAGTGAAATAATTACTGAATGGTTAAGTGTAAAATCGTATAATACTGGTTAAGTAACAAGCATATGTCTAAAAGAGAGATTTCTTGGAAATGGAATAGTCCAGCAAAGTTCATGAAGGGTGGCCGGCTGAGTGGCTCAATTGGTTAAGAGCACAAGCTCTGAGCAACAGGGTTGCTGGTTCGATTCCCACATGGGCCTGTGAGCTGTGCCCAAGCTGAGCTGCCAACAGGTGGCATGATGGCTCAGCTGGTGAGAGCACGTGCTCCTAACAACAAGGTTGCTGGTTCGAACTCTGCATGGGATGGTGGGCTACTCCCACCAGCAATTCAGACTGAACATGGCACCTTGAGCTGAGCTGAGCCGAGCAGCCGCGAGTTGCCAATGGGCGGCCGATGGCAACTGAACTTGAAGCTGAGCTAGCTGTGCCCTCCACAACTAAGACTAAAGGACACAACTTGGCTGTTCCCCTTCCCCAATTCCCCAATAAAATCTTTAAAAAAAAAAGTTCATGAAGGGGTTAGATCTTATACAGAGTCTTGAAGAAGAAAAAAGATTTGTGCAAGAGAAGAGAAAAGCATTTCTAAACAGAAGGCAAAAGCGCAGAGGCAAAATAGGGGAAAGTGAGAAGAGTGGAATGAAAATGCAATATAAAGAAGTAGGAAACAAGATTCAATCTATAAGGGTGTGTATATATTTTTTTCAATCATTTTATTTTTCTAAGTCTTCTCCATTTGAGATTGTTAGTTTTGCTTTGTTTTCTTTTTCCTTTTTAAGATTAAATGTAAACACTGCACTCTCTACTCACGCCCATTTCCATGACCCATGGTAGCAGTTTACTGTATATAATTCCAGTAATGTTACAAGCATCCAGGCATAAATGAATGCTGTCCATATACATCCATTTTTTTCATTCCACAAAATATGAACTGTTCTGTACCTTGCACTTTTCCTTGATTCATTCAAGGAATCAATATATTCCTTGATATATATGGATATACCATATGGATATACCATAATTTATTTAACAAGTCCATTATTAATCAATCATTGCAATGTTTTCAGTTTTTCATATTATAAACAGCAGTGCAATGAACACTCTTGTACATAATGTTTAGCCTGCCTGAGGTGAGACTGTCTATAGGATAAATACCTTGAATTAAAACTGTTGAGTAAAAAATTACTGAACATAATAATGAACTGCGTTAGGGGTACATATTTTTAAATGTACAAGTTATTTTGCAGGTGATAAAAATAAAAAGATGAAAATATACTCGGATAGTGTATAATGAATATTCACATGGAAACGCATAAGAAGGGAAATCAGTAAAATTATTCTAATTGATTAGAGGACATTCTGGAATAAATGGAATTTCAGAAGTTTTTTGAGACAAAGAACTTTGGTGGTCCAATGCAGCATAGGGCACGGCAAGACTCAAAAGGCATAAATTGGATGCCCAAACAAAAAGGGAAAGCAATACTTATACCTGGAAGAAGTGAGTTCTTGATGTTAATAAGAGTGAAAGGGGGCAAATGAAGCAACACAGCACACTTTGCGGGGCTTACAAAGTACCAGGACTCAGGTGTTGTTTTATGGGTTCAAACCTGGGATTCTCCCTCTGTCTGTGTCCTAAGAAGAGGTAATCTGTGCTAACTTTCATCATCAATAGAGGAAAATTATTACATGAATCCTACGAATCAAAGCAAAAAGGATTTGAAATGGTTTCCTTTGGAGAAGAAAGGCTAGTTTGTTTATTTTAGAAGAGAATACTAACAATCCGCTTTCCTTGTTAGCAGAAGACACAAAACAAGGAAGTGAGCTTCAATTCAAACATAAGCTCTTTCAGTTGGGCATAATGGAAAACTTGACTATTAAGGGCATAAAATGTTGGAATGGTCCACTTCCAGTAGCTGCGGCTACTGCTCCCAGCTGTTTTTAAGAAAGTTGGTGTAAGAACAGATGATTTGAGGTCACTTCCAGTTTTCTATCATGAATGAGAAACAGAGAATTCACACTTCAAGTTGTTATTCTTCTACAATTTAATAGGCTTTTTCCTCAGGTCTTACAGCTAGAGCTTCCAATTTTTTTTTTTAAACATTCTAATTTTGGCTTTCACTGAGCATTTTTAAGGCAAAATGACCTACATTTATATGAGACATGACTTGCAAATTGCTGGGAAAAGTAACTTTTGCTTAAAGCTTTGCATTCATAGTATTAGCCCTAGCTTAATGTTAGAGTAAGTGATACATGATGTTTGCACTAGAGGGATAATTCTGATTTAAAAAATAAGTGAAACTGACTTTCAAAGGTGCTTAATATTCATCAGTCAGGATATAGCTGCTGGGATACCTTTTTAATTAGAAAAAAACTAGATTTTTCTTTTTATACAAGAATGCTCATTACAAATTGGTTTAATAATGAAACACTGAAAAAGCCCCCCAAAACACTGATCAAGAATAGAATGGATAAACTGTGGGACAGTCATACAATGAAATACTATGAGCAATTTAAAGTCATCTAAAACCACAAGTAACAATATGGATAAATCTCAAAAACAATATTGTTCTACAAGCAAGGACCCTGGTGGAAGAAAGTGAACAAGGTGATATTAATTATATAGCACTTTAAAAATGCAAAAAATTTTAACATATCTTTTATAGAGAGAACATAAAAAATAAAAAAATATATGGAAATGATAAACATTACACTAAGGACAGCCATTATTCTCTGAGAAAGAAGGGAAAGAAATGGGATCAGGAAGGCATAAGGGACTCAAGGGGATTTCATATATACTACGTGTTTATCTATAAAGCGTTCTTTTGTTTATGCTGGACACATACACGGAGGACTGCCAGATTACTCTGTTTTTTTGGTGTATACCTGAAGTGTCATATACATTTTAAAATTGGATATAAAGAATACACTATCCTGAAGAAAACAGAGTGCCTGCCAACAGCCAGCATTTCCGAAAAGAAAGCACCATGTAAATAGAATATGTGTGGTCAGTCGAACCTGCAATACGCTGGGAAAACCACAAGTTGCTGAAA